ACAGGTTAATAACATAGTATATCACCCTCAGTCCAGAATGGCCTTGACAAGCAGGATAGTAGCAGCCCTATCCATACGTCATGGTTTACTACCGTATCCATACGACGAGGGGAACTCTGTGCCACCATTTTCAAAAGAGGAAATGTACTCGTTAATCCAATCCGTACGCTTAGCACAGTAGTCTGTCAAAATGATTTTTTGAGAAATACTGAAAGTTTCAAAGAGATCTTCGTATGCACTAGAAATAATCTAAAATGTGAAGAATACAACCTCGGGGGTACAAAATGACCACAGGGCGTATGGATATGGTTAAATGACTCGCATTGCGTAGATGGGGGAGATAAGAAGAAACCGTTAGACAAAATCGCAATTTTCTTTCCGTGATATTTGATGGGTCATCCTGATCTTTTTTGTTGTTTTGATTGTTTTGTTTTTGTTTATGAAATGGCAGGGTTTTTTAAAGAGATGTTGACATCACGACACATGTAAAGGGGGAAAAATGAAAAACAGGCTTAGTCACACTAAGCCTTCCATGACTTATCCTATTTTAAACTTTTTTCAAATGATGGATTTAGCTTGACCTTAACTTGATATTTCTGTTCTAAAAATACATTTTGTGAATGACGTAGTGGGGTTATTGTTTAACAGACACGCAGAAGTCACGCCTGTGGATATCACTGCTTTGTCTGGTTAGTTTAAACAGTTGGCACAGGATGTAGAGGGTGCTTTTTTAATTAATTATTTTATTCAATATAAAATTGTTAAGCATGATGTTTACGGTAAATTTGACATTGATAAGGAATTTGAAGTCAAATACCCCTTTAAAATATCAAAAATGAATTTTTTTTAAAATCTCACCTCTCTACTCTACCCAGGGGCCAGTGGAAAATTGTTTGTCGAAGCCTAGATTCCTGGACCAAGGCCTCGCCTCGAGCCTGACTTCATGAAATCAGCCACAAGCGCAACGATTTTCGACCGTTTTGGAGTTCGGGGTCTGATTCGGGGCCATATTTTTTAAATATATTATTCCTGCGTGTATGAGGTACTTGAAAAGCAATTATTAGAAATTGGGACAATGTTCACGTTCATCAGTAAGAGGGACAGAACTACTAAAAACGTTTGTGATCAAACTATGAACTCGCAGTTATCCCCCTTAGATTACATCCCAATGAGAAACACGAAACTTTGTGAAACCAAATCTTGCCCCTAATCACAAAAGAAAAGGCCCGAAATGCTTTTCCCTCATGTCAAGTCTTTTTTCTGAGTTTATTTCCCTTCGTTTACTCTTTTTTCCAGTACATGTAGGCTACTATCATTGTAGCTGCGGGGTTGTGTTCGTGCGGAGAAGATCTTGGAAGGAAAAGAAATCAAAATGAGGTAGTACAGTGTAGATCTACCCAAAGAAGCCCACATGTGTTACTCACTGATGAAAACGTTCCGAACAAGGCAAAAATGCTTTTTCTAGGACACTTGAAGAGACACAACGTCCTCGTACATTTGGGAGGCAGCGAGGTGGAATCAGGCTCTCGTCAAAATAATCAAAATGAAGAAACTTGCATTTTTCTGCGGGTTTGTGAATTTTTATCAAATTTTTGGTTTTTGGTTCAGCACATTTCATGCCCATTAAAGAACTAATTTCTGTGTGGATTTTTCTTTAAAAAAACGTTGATTAAAGGTACAATAAATGTAAATTTTCAGTTGCCAAGGACTTTTAAGCTAAGGAAATAACTAATCTTTGGCGGCCATTTTCTCACTAATTTTACCCCTGAAAACAGGTGACCCCCACCTCCTTCATTCGCAAATATGTCGACTTGCATTCAAGATAAATGGATATTTTTTCCATCCAAATAAAGATAAGTGAACAAACTTTAAGATGATACCTATAACTCTACATGGCCCTAAAATTGACGAGAGCCTGATTCCACCACGCTGCCTCACATTTGTCTCTCACTGGCCAAACTGAAGGTAAACGAGGCAGGAGTAAACACAAAGCATCCTACTTGGATAGCCTAAACAGATGGGTAACGGGGAAAGATCAGGAAATTGTAGTGGGTTTTTTTTTTAATACGTCCGAGCAAAAGAATAAATGGAGAACCTTGTTCTCTGATGTCTGTTGCAAGTCTGGCACTTGATGACAGTCACTGCTGAGGAGGAAGACTTGTTGTTTCCGCCTTATTTTTTTTTTACGGCACTTGTAACTACATTAGGTCGTACGAGCGCGCGTAAGCATTTCTAGTTTGGTAGGAATACATTTTTAATTTTGCCCTGGCTGCGGCCGAAGCCGATTCTTACCTATTTTTGGATCACCAAGGGATCTTTAACGTGCGCGACTTGCACACGAGACCCCCAGGTTTTGTTGGGTTTTTGTTTGCCTTTTTCCAAGAAGGCTTGACGTTAGATGTTACCATACCCTAAGATCAGGGGTGTGACTGAAAGACAGCAGTAAGAAGGAGCCAAGGAATAGCAGTAGAAAGAAGGCAGAAAGAGTCAGGAACCCAGAGGAGGGGACAAGGAGGGGGGGGGGGGCAGAAACTTGAGACGAAAAGAGATGACAGAATAATATGGTTAGAGAGCAGGAAAATAGTTTTTAAAATTTAGAGAAGAAAATTTATCGTTGGTGTCAGGTTTCGAACCCCGGACCTATTGAATGAGATGCGAACACCGTAACCTCTAGACATTGAGAGCCCCCTTCCGTTTTTGAAGGTGCTGTTAATGATTTGATAAAGATACATTTACTGCTGATGACGCCGTCAAAACTGGGATGGGTGAGTGAGTAAATACGTCTTGAAGTCCACCGACATCGATGATAACAACAACAGCAGCTGCAGCAGCAGCAGCTACAACAACAACAAAACCAACATCATCAATAACAACAGCGATACTTGATGATGATGATGATGATGATGATGATGATGATGATGATGATGATGATGATGATAGTGGTGGTGTTAGTGATGGTAGTCGTGATGTCGGTAGAGGCGATAAAAACAGAAACAAAGAATTGAATTAGAAAAAAAGATATATTTCATAATTTGAAGGCACATATTACTTTGTATTCAATATCACATTTACATTGTATTCGATATCAAATTTTATTTTTAAAATGATACTGGAAGTTATTGATAACACACTTCAGGTAAAGACTTTGATATAATCCCTGATAACTGTCTCATTCTTACAAAAAAGCGAATATGTACATTTTAAGATACAGGGTTTTGAAATTGGTGCAATGCATTAGCAATTTGAATTAAAAGAGGTAAAATCTCAAAAGTGGACCCCTCTTTTGAAAATAATAACATGCTTCAGCGAAATCTCTTGAGCATGACCCTAAACAAAGAAATGATCAAATACAAACAACGCAAAACAAAACAAAGCAAAAGAAAACAAAACAGGCATCAACAAACAAACAAAAACCAAGCCAAACCAAAGCAGCGTAACTAACAGTCACACTCCACACCTTCCATACACTTTACTTGTAATAACATGGTAGTTCTGATCAGTCATTTCAGGAACAAAATGTTAAATCGGAGGTCCCGCCTCATAATAACCATGTAATAATGTTAAAAAGCGCGCGAATCATATATTATTATCTGAACCAACCAACCAACCATTCATTTTCTTTAATTCATACACATACTATTGAGCCAGAATAAGAGTTATGGCTACACAGATAAGCAATCTATTTGGCAAGGCAGCGGTAGCAACCATTGCACTCTGTGAGCAACTGAAGATAATGATTTTACCTTTTAGAAAAATAAGTAGGAACTTCCCGATAGAGTGGTTGTAAGAGATTGTTAAGCATTATTGAAAGAATCAGTAAAGTTTATCACTGTCCACCATGCTCTGCTAAAGCGCGTTTTCTCCTCTCGGGCTTTTTTTTTACTTAAAAAAAATTCTCCTTATTCTTTTTTTTAATGGCATTTAGTGTTTGTGTTTATTTGTAAAAAAAAAGTATTTAACGCAGTGCTATTATGAAGTTTGAAAAACGATGTTTCGATTTTTAGCAACATTTTCAGCGCGAGTAAAACATTTCCTAGATAGGTACGACATCAGTAATATCTAAGGTTTGATTTTTTTTTTAATGAACATAAAGTCACGGACCAAATCACTACAATTGTGTCACAAAAAAGAATAGTAAAGTTGATCCTCTCAGTCTAACGTAGACAGACACACTCTTACAAATTTCTCTCTAGGTAAATAACATTCTAATAGATGAAATCGTTTATTGTCCCAGCCTAATCACTGTATAGATCAGACACTGTTCATATCAATGATCTTGTAGAATAGCACACCTTTGCCCTCGATGCTGACACACAGAGTCCCGTTCTCCTCCGTCACGGCACGAGCTCCCTTCACGTCTGTGATGACTTTGTTCATCGTTTTGTTGATCATTTATCATGATACTATAGATCCAGAATAAGAGTTATGGCTACACAGATAACCAATCTATTTGACAAGTCAGCGGTAGTAATCATTGCACTCTGTGGGCAACTGAAGATAGTGATTTTACCTTTAAGAAAGATAAGCAGGAACTTCCCGATCGAGTTGTAAGAGATTGTTGAGCATTATTGAAAGAATCAGAAAAGTTTATCACTGTCCACCATACTGTTCTAAAATGCGTTATCTCCATTCGGGTTTTCTTTTCTTTTCTTTTTTTTAAACGGCATTTAGTGTTTGTGTTTAGTGTGGTAAAAAAAAAAAGATTTCATATAGTGTTTTTATGAAGTTTGAAAAAGATGTTTCGACTTTCAGGAACATTTTTCAGCACGAGTAAAACATTTCCTAGGATAGGTACGACATCAGTAATATTTAAGGTTTGATTTTTTTTTTATGAACATAAAGTCACGGACCAAATCACTACAATTGTGTCACAAAAAAGAATAGTAAAGTTGATCCTCTCAGTCTAACGCAGACAGGTATACTATTACAAATTTCTCTCTAGGTAAATAACATTCTAATAGATGAACTCATTTATTGTCCCAGCCTGATCACTGTATAGATCAGACACTGTTCATATCAATGATCTTGTAGAACAGCACACCTTTGCCCTCGATGCTGACACACAGAGTCCCGTTCTCCTCCGTCACTGCACGAGCTCCCTTCACGTCTGTGATTACTTTGTTGATCATTTTTCCTTCTGCAGAGACCAGCCAAACGTCGTCATTTTCCACGAGGAACACTTGCCCGCTTTTGCTGCGGCGGAGAGGAATAATAACAATAATAATAATAATAATAATAAGGATAAGGATAAGGATAATAATAAAGATGATAATAATAATAATAATAATAATAATAATAATAATAATAATAATAATAATAATAATGATAATAATAATATTAATAGTAATGACTATAATAATAATAATAATAATAAGGATAATAATAATAATAATAATAATAATAATAATAATAACTATGATAATGATAATGATAATAATAATAATGATGATGATAATAATAATAATGATGATAATAATAATAATAATAATAATAATAATAATAATAATAATAATAATAATAATGATAATGATAATGATAATGATAATGATAATAATAATGATAATAATAATAATGATAATGATAATAATAATAGTAATAATATTATTAACAATAATAATAACAATATTAATAATAATAATAGTAATGATAATAATAATAATAATAATAATAATAATAATAATAATAATAATAATAATAATAATAAAATTGATAATGATAATAATAATAATAATAACAATAATAATAATGACAATGATAATAATAATGATAATAATAATAATAATAATAATAACAATAATAATAATGATGATGATGATAATAATAACAACAACAATAATAATAATAATAATAATAATAATAATAATAATAATAATAATAATAATAATAACAATAATGGTAATAATAATTATAATAATAACAGTAGTTGTAGTAAGAATAATAATGATACAATGATAATCATACAGCGCATATCCATGCACTACAGCACGCTCTATGCGCTATAAACTCTTGTTACCTCACCAGACCCTAGATGACACAACTATTCTCCCTACCCGGGAAGCATACTGTGCAAACTGCAGATTTGGGGCTCTCGTGGCCTAGAGGTTAAGGTGTTGTCCTCTCATTCATAAGGTCCCGGGTTCGAATCCGGGTAGCGACCGAAAAATTTTCTTCTCTAAATTTGTCTCCTTTCACCTCATTTCCTGCTCTCTAGCAATGTTCTATCGTCTGTTTTCGTCTCCTCTTTCTGCCCCCCCCCCCTCACCTCCTTTGTCCCTTCCTCTGGGCTCCTGATTCTTTCTGCAGCCTTTCTACTGCTACTCCTTCGCTTCTTCCTACTGCTGTCTTTCAGCCACACCCCTGATCTTCAGGTAGGAAAGATCTACACCTAGCCTTCTCGGACAAGGGCGAAAAATCTCGGAGGTCCCGTGTGCAAGTTGCGCACGTTTAAGATCCCTTGGTGGTCTAAAATCGATAAGAGTAGGCTTCGGCCGCCACCCGGGCAAAATTCAAAATTTCCTACCAACAGAAAATATTAGGAGTGTCCCGCGCGCTCATATGACCGTATGCAGTTGCGAGCGCCGTGAAACAGTTTACAAAAACAAAAAACCCCCAAAAAACTGCAGATTTCACGCGCTAAAACACTAACAAACTGATAAGATTTTTCACTGTCTATAGCTAAGTACCCATTTCCACATGGATGAAGAGAGAAAATTCGTGAAAAGCGCCTTTCTTAAGGACACAGCATCGAGCCCCTGACAGGATTCGAACCCACGACCTTACGGTCCGCGAGCCTAATCACTAGGCCAACGACTAGGAGAGAGAGAGAGAAAGAAGACAAGAAATATGAATGCCCTACTTCTGCACCCGAGTGCACTACGAGAAAACAATGTATCTAAATAGCTTGTAAGTGTGTCAGTCTACCACTTTATCGCACTTCTATAGAATTAATACTGCCCCTACTAAGTCGTTTGTGATCAAACCATGAAAACTGTAGCAACTCCACATCACCCAAACATTCTCAATCTCTTCCTTGGCCATTCTTATAAAGTTCGTAAACACAATTTTGTAAACTGGATCCCCTCTCTCGCATGTAAGAAGAAATATTTTGAAAGAACAAAAATGACGCCCCCTCCCCCTTCCACTCTTTCCCCTTTCTCCACACCTCCGCCCACCCCTCTACATAAGGGCACTACTGGCCTCACCTCGCACAGACACCTTTGGGATGCTCAAGCTCTTCTTTGGCGCTACCTTTGAAGACGAAGAGCTCCTTTCCGTGTTGGTCAACGCAGGTCAAAGCTTTGCCTTCTCTGTCCGAGACCAGCAGCTTGTCGTACAGATTAGAGATGTACTGTGGCACCTAAGATAGGCCAGAGAAAGGGAAACTCAAATATGTAGGACATGTACACACACACACATACACACACACACACACACACACACACACACACACACACACACACACACACGCGCGTGCGCGCACACTCTCTCGGGCGGGGGGGGGGAGACAAGAGAGGTAATTGAGAATTGT